AATAGTACAGAAACAGAAGGAATCACATTTCAGCTTCCCATTTATTTCATTCTTCATTTTAACCCCATAAGCATCTCCCAAGATTGAAATGTGAACAATGTAACAATCTTGGAACATGTAATGTCAGATAGGAGACAGATGGATGAGGCTGGAAGCCACAGAGTCAATCCTTTGATTTCTGGTATTAGATGTTGATGTTTTTGACCCTTATTAAAAATTGAGTTTTCTAGGCAATAAATATAAAAATCAAACGCAAGTCAAAAGAGTCCCACACAGATAGAAAGTAATTTAACTAGCCCCTTCAGCTCCTTAGGAAATATAGCAACTAGGCAGTATTCAGACAAGTCAATTCTAGTTGTTTTACCACATTGCTTTTGTGATATTTTTCATTTTTATTCCCTGGAAATGGTCAAGCAACAAAAAAGCGAACATAGCCCACAAATCTGGTTAAACAGAAAACAATAGCATTGTGTTTATTGGCACAAATAATCATTAGAGCTTTCTTACTGGTATCTAGATGACTGTCCAGAATACATTTTATCAGCAAAACAATTTCAAGTATATGAAAAAATCAAAGTAGCAGTCAATTACAAGGCATATCCTGGATGAGTGGATATATTTCATGAGATAATATAAATTTAAAAATCAAAATGAAGAAACAGTCATAACCATTGTCTTCCTATATATTCCATATCTGCATATTTAGATGGCTAACAAGCAATTTATCAATTGTCTACATTTTGGAGGCAATTAAAAATCTAAAATATAAATTATAATATAGCATGTGAAAGGACTCATACTTGTTTATCATTATAATACCTGTGACATGTTTTTTCAATGTTTGTGGTAATAGTTATAGACACTAGACTCAGTAAATGTTAGTGGGCAGTTTCTCATGTGGACTTGTGTGTAAAAGCATATGCATTTCTATTTAAGCCATCTACTCGAAATGTGACCAACATAACTAAAGAACAGTGAATGTGAGCTGACAAGAACCAAAGTGTCAATGAGATCTTACAGAAAATATAAGCATATAAAATATCTACTTGATAAAGCCAACTTAAATTATACACTATATTTTAGGCTCCAAGTCGAGATGTGATTTTGTGCTATACAGTATTAATCAGCTTGGATGTATCACTTTGAATTCTGAAATTCAGACAGGTTTCAATATTTCTCGTAGTGGTATATTTATTTGGTTAGATTGGTTCTTACAGTGTGCTTCTTGGTGTACAGACACGTGAGAGCGATAAGCAGACTGATAGGCTAGGAAATTTTAGCTGTATTTTTTGTAAGGAATAATTATATTAGACAAAGCATATTTCTAGTCACCAATATACTAGTGTATCTTATTCTTAGAAAAATATTTTGAAATAATGATGAAATCAATGTGTTATGAAATGTTACATGACATTGAAATAGTTATAGTTGCCACAGCTATATTCACTTGACAGTATATGATATAACTATAGTGCTTCTTAGTTCAGGGCATGATGAACCATAAAAGCTTACAGAGGGGTACCAATATGTATATATATACTGTAATATTATGAGTATGTGTGCAACATCTGGTACATTTTATTTTCATGATTTTATAGTGAATACATTACCAAAGAAAGCAAAATAATCTATATGCCAGAGCAAGATTGCCATAGAAAGAAAGATTTAAAGAAATAGAACAGGAAACATAAGATTTAATCTTTCATTTTCTTTCCTCAAGCGATTTGATGGCAGATAGGAAACAATCATTTACAGAGGGGGAAACCTCCCATAAACAATAATGAAAATACCATCTTGAATTATAATGATATTTGATTCTTATAACTTTCAGAATAAAAGGAAAAATGCAGACAGCTAAGAATACCTCTTCATAATAATTAAATTGCACAAATAGATTATCTTAGATGAAATGAAGATTTTTGTAATGAAAATAATAAATGAAAATATTGCAAACCTCAAAGAGGGTTTTTCTCCTGTTTCTTCCACCTATGAATATGACTGAGATAGACACTTTTTTCATTGTTTCCTTCATCTGCACAGAAGTTTATTTCTCACCAGGATTTCATCTGTGAGACTGAATCTAGAATCCGGCACTCAATTGACAGTCTTGGACCATTTTATTTCTTAGCAATCCACAATGCAGTAGTATATTTAGTATTCAGTATTTCCCTCACAAGTGGTATTTCATAATTTATGTAACTTGGAAGCTTAAAAAGATGACATCAGTTCCTAGATCAAATCTCAGGGCTCCTCTTTGGGTTAAATGCTCATATTCATATTTGGATGATGGTAAATTATAGACCATAAAATAATCAACAGAATACTAAATTTATGTCTCTCTTGAAGAGCAAGACAGTACTGCCAAAGAGAGTTTAAGAAATTTGGGTATGATTCTGATGCCAATCAAGACATAAATTGAGATGGGCTAGGTGTGGAGATAATTTAGAAGATTGACTTCTGTGGATATTTTATTGTGAGACATTAAAAAGGAACTGCATGTGTGCAGAACAGCCAAGAAAACTCTTAAAAAGTGAAATTGAATGATATTACTAAATTAGAAGATAGAGCATAAAATACCTCCATGATCCAGAAATATAAGATGATGGTATGATTTTAAAAATTTAGCCTTCTGCTTTCTGGACATATAAATCATAAATTGTGTTGCGGCTCATTTTGGTTTGTAAGGAGGGACAAAATGGTGACAGTGGAGATGTAAATTTTGTGTCCAGTCATTTTCTTAAATGTGAGGTTAGACAAGCTCCAGCAGGCGCATATTCTCTTTTGAAGGTAAGGAATGGGTTTCAAACAACTTGGGTTCTATGCTAGCATCCTGCCTGGTTTATGATTGGAAAGAAAGATTTTCCAGCACTTATGTGCTATTAGGGTTGATACTAGGTTTGGAATGGATGGCTATGGTAAACGAGAACACTGTCTGAGATCAAGAGAAGTGAACTGGATTTTTGTTTCTCCCCGAATAGTTCAGCCCAGTGCTGTTTTGCACAATGGGGAAATTCAGTGAGAATGTGTTGAAGGTTTCATCCGAAGTGCAATTTCTTCCACCTTAATTTCAAGTTATTTTATATATAGTCACTTTATTAAAATCTCAGGATACGTAAAATATAGAGTGTTACAGAATATGTTTACCATTACAGCTGGAAGTGATCATATTGAAGTGTATACTCTGGCTTCATGTTGCTTAGGAGCTTTCTGTTAAACAACATCACATATCTTTACTTGTTTCCATATGAGCACATATATTTTATTGAATGTGAGAAGTGACATTAGCAAGACAACATACATGATTTAAACAGGGTTGGGCTCTGGATTGGAGCCCATTTACGTTCAAATATTGACATCTACTATTCTGAGATAATTCACGGATCCCTAATGGTAGGACTGAGCCTGGCCAAATGGGGATTCCTAACTTACTTTCCACACATTTGAACTTTATTGTAACCTATGGTGAGTATGCTTTATGTTTGTTCAATTAGCAACAAAAGCAGCCAACAGGCTCAGGGACCTTTGAGATAGGAGTGTTTTATTGCAGTGGAATTTTGTGGGCTGTTTGGACCCTCCCTCCCATCTATCTTAAACATAAAATAGAAGTGCTTACCAATCAAAAAGAAAATGAAAAAATAGTTCTTTTAACACTAAATTCTAAAACACAATTCTATTTCATCTTACATATATATTCTAATTGAGTTATCTGGAGAAGAATTCATTCACAAAGACTTTATTGTCTTTATAGCTAAAAATTCTGCATAGCTAGTGTTCATAGACTTGAACCAACATAATGTGATGAAAACATATCTTCAAAATAGGCAACATTATCTCAAGTAAAACCATTAAATGAACAACAATATTTATTAAGCACAGTCTCACTTTAAAAGTCTTTCATCAATTTTCCCATTTGTATATGAGACATTTCTATCCGTGGTAGATATTATTCAGAAATAGTATAAAAACTTTCCTACAAAGGGACTAGATTGCTAAACAAATAGAAGCATCACCAAGATGATGCATGCATAATTGTTAGTGATTCTTACAACAGTTTTGTGATAAGTTCATAATCAATTTTTATTAGTTAAATGATAACTTATTGTGATATTTCTCTCTGTATGTGTATACAGATATGTGTGCACATCATGTGTTTGTGGGTATACACATGTAGTGGTGTGGTACACAAATAACAAATATGTACATGGAGACCAGAGGGTGATCTCCAGTATGGCCACTTCTCAGGAATTGTCTTCCTTAGTTGTGGAGGTAGGATACCTCACAGGGAACTCAGACTAGGCAGTTAGGATGTCTAACTAGCCAATGAGCTTCAGGGATCTGCCTGTTTCTGCCTCATAAGTGTTGAGATTACAAGGACACTCCTTGATTCCAGGTGTTTACATAGGTGCTGAGAATAAAACTCGAGTCACCTTACTGACTGAGAAATACTTTAGCATTCATAATGGTATTCCTTTAAAATGATATTATTTTTAAAATCACATTGAGTTTACTGAATGCTTCTTATATTTCCAATGTTATATCCATTTCAGCAATATAGCAAAGCCCATACAGAAATATAGATTATAGTCTGATTGGAAATAACTTTGAATTTTTTCTCCTGCTTTTGTTTCCTGGCTTTATTTTTAACTCTCAAAATACAAGCCCATAAATTCTTCAATATAATGGACTAACAATTAATAGTACTTTATTTATGAAGTGATGGAATCATATTACAATAATTTCACTTGAAATAAGTTCTTGAAAAATGAGTAAATACAGTAGTTTGGAGTAGTAGACTGTTACTAGTAGTGGATATAGCAGGAAGAGTACACTCACAGTACAGGCATTTTCCTTTGAGACACAGAGCAAAACCTTTGCTCCCGTTCAATGGTCTTTGTCTTCTTCAAAGTCAGGGGAGTAGCCCACAACAAAGCAGTCATTGGTCAAGAATGTTTATAAGTGACTGATTTTAAAGCATTTGTTCCAACACTCCCTGTTTCTCCCACAGTTCTCTTGAGGATTTATGAGTCTGATGCCAAAACATTGAGATTACGCACAGAGGGACCTACCCTTCAAGAAGGTAACAGATTTTGCAGTGCATTTTCAGTGCTATGTATGGTGGTGGTTCCCCTGTAACATTTATAAAATAAGAATATTGTGCACACCTAATAAATCAAATCAAAATTAATTAAAAATACAGAGTGTTTTGTGATCACTGGAAATGGCACTTGAAGAGAAAACAGAATAATTGTGCTCAGTTACAATGTTCATGCTTTGCATGTTAACTATGATTTTTTTTAATTGTTTATTAGTGCCATTGTCATTGAAAAGTTTCCCCAGCAGAGGGAAGCACAGCTTCATTATTTATCTCATAAATTGAAATAGGGAGAACAAGCTTACACAGCAACTTTATGCATATTAAATGGGGTTGTATGATATTTCACCATAACTAAGCAACTCTGACATTTAAAATGTTTCAATATCTTGGTTCACTTGCTCACTTTAAGAAAATATATGGCTAGTATTTTAATGTAAAAATGTGGCTTCATTGTTTGATTCAAATACTCAGAAAGGGTTGCCATCATCAACATACAGATATATGACTTCCTTGGTTCATTTTAACACTATGTATGATTAATTTATCTGATATATTTAATGAAAATTTCTGTTTTCTATCTCTTTGTGTTGCTAATATATAAGACTATGTTCATAGACTTGGCTTGTTTTGTTCATATAAGAAATTGAAGTTCTTTATCTTATAAGATCTAATATTTTGAATGTATTATACCTGTGATCAAAATATATATTCCTGTTTTGTAAGTTCATCAGCATCTTCTTCATCTTAGACCACATTCCCTCCTAACTATTCTTGGAATGATATGTAGACTCCTACCTCTTTAGCACTGGAGGTGTAAAGAGAGGCTTACCATGATGCTGCAAGTCTGAGCAATGGGTCAGTGGGTCTCCATTCCTTATATCTTGTCGTCTTGTGCGCCTAAAAGAATTGCATTCGAGAGACATTATTCTAAATCTCTGATATGAATGAAGAATCAGATCTGTACTGAATCTCATAGACAAGGGAATCTCATGCATCTGCAGCCCATGTGGCTGGATAAGGGCACTGAAAAGTGACCAAACTGGGAAACGAATCTACTGAACTCCAGCTGCCGCAACTGAAGGAGTCTTAACCATCACGAATAGACATTCTGCCTTGTTTTCTACCAGGAATCAGTCAATAATAATCTAATACTGAGAAGAACTAGAGTTCGTTTCAGAGGAAAATAAGGTATAATATTTTGAAAGAACAACCCATTTCTTCAATAAACATAAGTATTGTTCTGATCATCAATGTGGGTGTAAGGCTGAACATTAGAATTCACATGACAGATGGCTTTCCTCATTGTGTATACACTTCTTCATTACTCCTACAATTCCATCAAGGATTTATAAGTCTCATGCAAACACACTGAGATTACATACAGAGGGACCTAAGTGTAATCTTTTAAAAATACACTATTGCCTAACTTTGATGTATTAATCTAAAAATTCTTTCTTTTGTTGCTTTTTAATTTATTATTTCACGATTTTATAGAAAAGTATCTTTACTGCATTTTCTTTGATGTGTTGTGGTGCTAGTGATTGAACCTCAGAGCCCATTGTAAGTGCTGTACTTCCAGCCTTTGGCCCTTGTTTTAGATTCAATCTTATTTTGGCCTTGTTTTGTTTGGTCTTGTTTTGGCCTTTGTTTTAGATTCAGTCTTATTCTTCAGTTATGGCTAGCTTGCTGGGTTCCCAGGTGTATACAACCGTGACATCCCTATCATATGGTTAGGGTTGCACATCAGTTTATTTGAGAAAAGGAGGAAAACTACAAGTTTTGAACTTAAGTGTGAAGTCTTCTTTTGCTAGGAGAGTAGGTAAACCAAGATGACCATCTCTTTTACAGAAAAGCGGAATATATGAACCAAACCAGTTAGCATCCTTTCCAGGCTCTGCAAACTGTATGTGCAGAACCCCTGCAGTTAGACACACTTGGAGGAGGAGATGGGCAAGATACAAATGTAAACTGAGATGAGAGATGAGGAGAATGCCGTGTAACACAGAAAGTGTGGACATCTTGACCGATTATCTTTCTTTTTTCCTCCTTTTTTTAAAACAATAAATCTTAAGGTATCATCTTGCTACGAATTAGTTACCATCACTTAATGACCATTGAGAAGTATAAATATGGGATTCATTACTGTATTCATAAATTTAGAAGTCTAAAGTATTTATAGATTTCTATTTGTAGAAGTAGTGAGACTATCGAGCAGATGTGTACACTTGAAAATTGAGCTGACAAGAGAACTTGGGAAACATGAATCCCAAAGCACTCGGAAAAGCCTTTCTCAGTCACTTAAACTTCAAAAAATGCCACCACAGAGAACATATAAATTACAAGGCCTCCATGCATCCTTTTTCAAAGACATATCTAGTCAGAGACACATGAAATTAGGTTAAGTCAAATCCATAATTCACAAGGAAAACAAGAGAACTTATGAAAATTCTTTGAGTTTTAATTTATGGGAGTGTAAGAACCACTTTCAATATATAAATACCAGGTTCAATTAGAGTCATGTTTATTTCTTTTCTCCTTCTTTGATTAAAATTCAAACCTCTCATCACCAAATCACGTAATGTTCTTCATTATTACTTCTTATAAAGGGAAGATTCCTTATTTTCAGTTCATATAAGATTTACATATGTATGTTTGAGTAACTAGAGCTAAACAATTTTAAAAAGGATAAAAATTTAATCTTAAATAATTTAGAATTATCACTGTAATGATGATATATTTCAATGTATTAAACCAGTCATGGTTTCTTTAATCAATTTATAGTATCTTCAAACTAAGTTTTTTCTAATGTAAAATCCCAACAAATTATCGAAGTACTAAGTATAATAGCTAAATATGGAATTTTGAAAGAGTAAGAAAACTGTTTTATGTATGTAGTCTTTAGGAGGAGTTTTACACTTAGTATTACTGTGATAATGTGTTCAAATTATATAATAATATAAGCTATGCTCAAGGTAATTATTTTAAAAGATTCCTTCCTTCCCTCCTTCCTTCTTCCCTTCCTTCCTTCCTTCCTTCCTTCCTTCCTTCTTTCTTTCTTTCTTTCTTTCTTTCTTTCTTTCTTTCTTTCTTTCCTTTTCTTTCGTCTACAGATATGTTTGTGAATCTCTGTGCATTTCTTCATACACCTTGAGACAAGAAGAGGGAGTTAGATGCTCTGATGTTGGAGTTATCCATGACTGCGTCATCTGTGAGAGCATGGCAACTGAACTGGGTGCTCTGTAAGATCAGTAAGTGCGCTTAACCCCAGAACCATCTCTCCAATCACAGGTCTAGATGATTTAATATCCAAAAAATTGTATCTAAAACATCAATGCAAATAATTAAGGAGATGTTCGTTGTAGTCAGTAGATGTTTTCCTATAATATCTGTAATATTACAAACACTACAGAACATACTTCACTAATCTGAAAGGCTGATAGACAGAGTTGCTTGGGAAAGATACTGTGCTAAAACAAATTCATAGTGCTCCAAAAGTCCAGTGGGTTGGGGATGGTGGTCACCTAATCTAGGTTTGAAAAGGTCAGTGTGCATGCTGGCAAGCTTGAAGGAGCTTTACCAAGATTCTATATAGTCCTTTCACTCATCATTACTTCTTCCTGAACAGTATATATCAACAAAGAAATGCGGCCATCAGCAAACAGGAGAGAATAGGATGATGTTGGTGCTTTAAAAAATTAAAAACTGCTTTTATTTTATTAAACACTAGTAAAATAATTTGTCTGCAACTTTAGGATGTGTCTAACAGTTCTATGGAATATGATAATAATATTATATTAGATGATGAAACTGCCATTCTGTTTTTATTATCTTTTTATTTAAAATTTTTTATATACAATACATTTTATCATATTCTTTCTTCTCCTCGAGCTCCCCCCCCAGTCCTTCCTCTTTGAGTTTGCATAGGAAGCTGCCATTATGTCTAGTTTATATGTGTCATTCTCAATACAGTTTTGGTCGTGCAAGTCTACATTATATATGCCATAAATGTAATCTGTGCATATAGGTACATGTATGTGTGGGTACTTTCTGTAGGCCATAGGTTGAGAATGGGTGAATGGGTGTCTTTCTATGTTGCTCTCTACTTTTTCATCATCATCATCATCATCGTTTTAAAACAGAGCATTTCACTGAATCTAGAGTGCACTAATTTGGCTGAATCTGGAGCTCACTAATTTTACTGGAGAAGCTGATCAGTGAGCTCTCAAGATCCCTTTGTGCCTGTACTCCTTATTCTCAGTGACTCTACACCAGGCTTTCCCCTGTGTTCTGGGAATCTGAACTCAGGAATTTATTCAATAGAGACTTTACATATCCATCTCTTCTGTACCTGTCAATAACTTTCTAATTATAACATAATTTTTATTTTAAAATTTCCTATCAAATAACTGTAAATAAATGATCAAGACTATGTTTGGAATACATGAGTAGCGTGCACACACACACACATGCACACACATGCACACACATGCATGTACACATATACACACATATATACACACACAAAAGGATCAGATTTTATTATGTAGTTTTTGTTTCAAATGAAAATTGTAAATACAAGATGATACAGTAATAATAGGAATAATTAAAAAATTCTTGAGCTTAATAAGGAGATATATTTAAGAATAATAGCTAATCACTTGACACCTATGAACCTTCAGTTGATTGTCCTCTTGTCTAGTGTGAGCTGGCACACGTTTTCTGCTAGTCACTGTAGCTGAGTGGCTGCTCCATATCCTGGATGCTTAACTGCAGTACCATTGCAGACAAACTTCTTTGTAAATGCCTTTACTAGTTTCTTTTTATTGGGATCATCAGGGATCCTTTGCACAGTAGTTATGCTCTTCTGCCCTTTCTCGATCTAATGTCATATGTTGAACCCAACATCTTACTTTTTTCCATCAAATAAAGTATTTTTATGAAGATAGAAAACAATGAATATGAGCTAATCAATATTAATATATTGAAGACATCAGTGCACCTCAAATTCCACCTCAAATCTTATTTGCACAAAAAGGCAGTATGATTATTTATAAAGGGCTGTTCTGTAAAATAAATCAATCAGACTGCCAATAAACATTATATTTCCCCTTTACTGTTCACCTTACCTCTTTGCAGTAGGGAAATAGCGTGAGCATGAGGACCCATCCCAGGCACAGTAAGGGTCCCGAGCGAGGCAGCATTCTGCGCAGGCTTTGCCATAAATGTCACAGCGGTGTAGGGGCAGCTGTGCCACTCCAGCAGTTGAGCCAATGTACAGCTGTTGCTGTGGACGAGTTAAGAAAACACTCTTCTGACTAACTTATTTAGGCTCTTAAACAATTAATTATATATATATGGATCAATATTGTCTTTGATCATTTCTTCCAAGGTCTAGCAGATAATACTGGTTTAAGTGAATGAGAAACAAACTGTAAGTATCTGATTGCAACAGGGAAGAGAGAGACATGCTGTTCTTTCACTAAAGGATTGCTTAATGATATAATGAGCCTTAAGTAAAAGTTACATAAATACTCTACCAGAATATGGTTAATCAGATAAGCACACCTGTTTCTAACCCTGATATTCTGATGTAAATTCCACGGGCCACATGATGGACATAAAGTGTGATTTCTAATCTTCACACTCATGACTACACTGTGGTAAGCCTCACACATACAAAACGAGTAAAAATGAAATGAAGTTAATAAAGTTTTAAGAGTTTCATAAATACTGAGACATATAATAATAACCCACAGAAAAAGACTTTGAAAGCATATTTGAATTTTATAGGATTTAGATGAAAATTGAGTATTTGAACAACTTCACTGTGGACAACAGGATCCTCTTTGATATGATAAATTGTCTAATAGAAATGAATATATTCAATATTGCATTTTCAATTTTTTCACTTACAGAATATGTATAATATATATATGAATATATATTTTGTTACAGAATATATGACATATATTGTGCATGTGTGTGTAACTGTGTGAAGTTGAATGTAGGCTGAAGTATTTACTGAAACCTAAGAAATTATTAGAGAAGTATTTTTATAGATATTAGACCAGTGCTTAAAGCTAAGAAAAATATATTTGAGGCTATCAACCAGTAGTTTGGGAAATACTGTTGATTCCTTAGTAAGAGAACGTGTTTCATCTTTTTAAAATAATAAACTTAGAAATCTATTGAATAACACCAATTTCAATGAGATGAGAAATGAAACAGGTACAAAATATTTAAGCAAATATGAGACTCCTGAGAGTGTTGCAGCAATAACCAGACACATGGTTGGTAACAATGAGCAGGAATGTATTACTTGACCCTGGTCCTATTTTCTTTTGATATTTTTGAGATAGTGTCATATAGGCTAGGCTAGTTTTAAGCTCCAGAATCTCCTGCATCCACTTCCAAAGCATTTGGATGATGGTGTAAATGTTAGTCCTGGCTTTGGGACCCTGCTTGAAAAGGTTACTGACAAAATTGGCCATTCTATCAAAAGATCTCATGATTGTCTAATAATGTTTAAGAAGCATATGTGAAACTCATAATTATAGACTTATAGTTATGTGACACTTGAGTAGAAAAAGAATTACTCAAAGTAACTACATCAGGGACACGCCTTTAAGAGAAAAAAGATAAGTGCAGGAAAATGAGAAAAAGCCAAAAAAAAAGTATAGTCATACAAATGACTTATGGTCATGGAAACCTAAACTCCAACAAATTGATCTAAATTAAATGTAATGCAGTGTCATTTTGATTTTATCATAATTCTTCAGGATTACTAATGATACCTAAAAATCAGCATGCTATCCACAAGAAGCATAGGGGCTTGCAGGCATCACTGAGCATAATCCAGTGACTAGCTAGTAACCTGATGTGCTTTTTCTGCCCAATTTAACATCACCTCAGGAGATTACCCTAGCCTCCTTGTGACATCATGGGCCATGAGCTGGATGTGATTTCATTATCTACAAGGTTAGTTTCATCATTGTTGGTTCCTCTTGAAATACTGTCTCACTTTAAAAACATTCCTAAGAGTGAGTGAAATTGTGTCCCAATGAATGAAATCCATTTTCCTTCCATCAATGGCATATATAAGTCAGGGATTCTTTCTGTTATTGTGGTTATTTTTGTTGTTGTTGTTGTTGCTGAATGTTGTATTAATAAGCAATATTTTAAAATATTTAAAAAATCTTATTTCTTTTTCAAACAAGATGTTTTACTAAATTAGGCTTAGAGGTAATTCAGTAAGAATTGGCCCTGAAGTCTAGCAGAGAATAAATATAAATAAATATTTTTAAAATCATTACAGGAAAGATTATCCCTGTCTAGCTTGCATCCTGGAAAGCCCCGGATTTCCTTGCCAAGATGTGACAATTTTTAGATGTGAAGAACAGGTGAATACATGTTAATGAGGTGTAAGATAGCAGTATCAGGTCAATAATATCTGCACTCTGAATTTAAATATCTGGGAGATTATCAATCTATTTTGATACGTCTATGTGGAAAGGGTACACATTACATTTTGTTGGCACCATAATTTAGTGTTTTGTTCAAGAAGTGGAACACTGTCAAAGGCAAGACAGGCAAACAGATCAAAAATTACTCTATCCAACTGATTCTTATATTCACAGCTCTATAGACAAATTTTTACAGTAGTAAGGGACATTGTAGTTCACTCTTATCTCTATACTATGATTCCTACTAATAGACCTCATTTCAGTATACCAATATATTTCCAAAATTATCATTTATTTAATGGATTGAAAAGTAGGCAGTGATGTAGAAAACATAATTTTTACAAGCCAGACTGTGTCATATCTGTAGCTCAGAATTGAGAAATTAGTTGTTTTTCTTTTATGTCTTTGTGAAACATCCATTTGTTATAAATGAAAAGACTAATCACGAGCTACTCTGAATTCTTAGAGTTGTAGAATATACAACTTGGTCGTGCTTGACCGTGTGCTCAATCAAAGTGAACACTTTTCTCATGACTACAATACTAATGGACATAGGAGCTACTTGCTAAGATCTTCCAAACAGAATAACCAACTGTTTACTTTTATGAACATATAAAGTAATATTTTATCAACCTATATGATGGATGTTTCCTACTTATGTAAAATTAAATAAAATTAAAATCTTTTATTCTAAAATGATCTAACAATACTAAATTTAAAATATGTGTATAGGCACTGTTAAAATATGAAAACAGCTATTGAGTAAATTACCATCAGACACTGAAATACTATAAATCTAAATTTAGAGATCAGTATTATCATTTATGAGGGAAACCCATTCCAATGGCACAGATGATAAACTTTTATCCTTTTAGCTTGTTATAATAACAAGACCTCTTTGCACTTCATGTCTTTTACTACTCGCTTGCCTACCAGTCTATAAAATATGCTCGATAGTAAGATAATCTATCAAGTTCAAATCCAAAATTAATAAAACACAGGGCTGACTATAGCATATTATGATAGTACCTGTTTAGTAGACAGCTCCATTGCTGAAATAGTTGTTGGTTCCTAAAATGTAAACAAAAGAAGTGCTTGGTAAATGAGAAAAGTTAATGACTAATTGGTTAACACACAAGTTCTCAGAGAAACAACGTCACTGCCTACAACAAATAGTATAAGTGGAAATAAGATCTGTGAAAGACGCTAATGAGATAAGGGCTAAATATCTTTGGGGATCCTGCCTGCAGTTCGACAAGTTGTGTTTGTCACTCACTGAATGGGCCTAGAGACAACTCAGTAGGTCTACACTGAGTCAAGAAAACGTAAATTATTTACACTTTACCCCTTCCTTACCTATTCCTTTAACTTTGTTATACTCTATTGTCCCTTCTATGTGTATGTAAGAAGACAGGCAGCACATATGTTCCTTGGTCCTTTAGATGGACTCTGACCATTCTACCCTCAATGTTTTTACTTCTCTTCACTGCTCTGCGCTCTCCATCCAGCCCTTCCTCTATATTCCTTCTAATCTTCAGAAGCAGAATTCACCAACTCGTTCCATTATGCCTCAAAATCCTTTCGATTGCTTCCTTTTAGCCTTCCTCACGATCTTCTTTGTGCCTCTCTGACAGATCTGACGGCTTTGCCTTCCCTTGCCTATTCTTCCTACTTTGTCTTCATTTCACTGAGCTGGGCCACTCTGTGCTGCTGCCAACCCCATATTCACAGGCAGAGCAGAAGTGTTCTACTTCAAATCTGATGGCAGAACTGAGCACATGATTTTCTTAATAACTTCCGTACAACCTGCTTGGTGTACAAGAGAAAAGAATGATGGAGGATGTGCGTTACCTTAATGGAGTAATTTAGATATCCCTTTTCTACTTTAAATGAGTGATAGTAATTATCAAATATCATAACGACTTCTTAAAGAATTATCAATCACAAAGACAACTGTGGTGAACGTTATGTCATGCCACTGTGTCTACACAGAAATGGTGCATTTACTACTTAGTAATATCAAGTCACACAAAGAAAATTTATATTTCATTATAAATATTTTGCCATTAAAAGATGTTTTTTGGTTTGTACAATATTGGTATACATTAAGTACAACAGAAATTAAGTGTGTCAGGAGAAATTTCCATGGCAACCACTGCATATGAGAAATCCTTGTGTGACTAAAGAAATAACTAACCATGCAAGTTTATATCAAAGAAATTATACAGTCAAAGTTCAAGGCATAGGAAACTTAACACTCCAATGCAATGAAAATGTGAAGTCTAAGTTCTTTGAAAATATAATTGATTAAATTTTTATTTCCTATTCATTGACTATGCAACTCAAACATCCATAAAGCAGATAGAAATTGGTCTTCTCATAAGTAAATTGTAAAACATGAGACAAACTTGAGCACACACCGGATTCTATGGGGTTATATTATGGTGTCACATTCTAGATTAAGATTATGGCATCCCGTAATTAATATAAATGTACTTGTCATTTATAAAGAAATTAGTAACAGTTTAGAATATGTACTGCCTGAAACTGAATTTTAATGTAGAATACAATAAAATGACATCCATTTAAATAAGCTGTACATTTTCTGAGAAATAACTAGTGACAAATATGAGTTCCATTTAAGGCAGATGCGGCTTCGTAAGCATTCTTTTCTATGACATTGGTTTCAATTGCAAATTTAACTGGTGCTCAAGCCAAAAAAAAAAAAAATTAAAAACTTAGCATCTTTTCAAAATTTTCTATGACTTAAATTTACTATACATATCCTAGATATTTCAATTTAGTCATTATTAATCTTTTGCACTTGCAAAGCTTTTCAACCTGCTGATCCCAGGAGATCCCAGTTTAGCTTACTCGCTGCTTAGCACTGTAGAGGAAGCTCCTTCAGAAGTTAATAGACTGGAGTTCGGAAAGCATCAATTATGTTTTACATTTGAATGAAAATTAAACTCTTTCATTTGTTTGCTCAGCTGTTCATGGAATATTGCATAAATTGGGCTTAAAATGCAAGCATTATTGATGTAACTGCCTTGAAATCCTTTGCAGTCAATAGGACTATAAATAAACTCTTTTGTCCCCATGGCGCCATGACTGGATGTTACAGTTAACTGACTCAAAAGAAAGCTCAGTGGAAGGATGAGGTGGGGGACCCCATACTGTCCAGTGAAGGTGAAAAATTACCATGTGTCTGGATTTTTATTTCTTCTTAACTTAAGACAAAGAAATGATATGGAAGTCCAGCATTCTGGAGCAGGTTTTTACATGTATATTAATTTTCTGAAAACCAACATTTACCAGTTAGTTTAATTTTACTATACAAAGAGTATCTTTAAGAGTTCAAGATTGTAATCGTCACTCTAAGAAGAAATGGATGGTCCATTAACTAACCAGCTCACCCAGAAGCACATACTAAACAAAGCACTTTGAAATTCACATGATTGCTGTCAAATCACAGCTAGATTCAGACTGTGTATTCCTGCTACAATGCTATTTTGAGTAGGTACTGGCAGGTCTGCCGGGTTTCTTAGTCCAACACCAATGCTGACTTTACTTCACCTCTTATTATCTATTAAAAATTTTACTCTGCAAAATTTTATTGCCAAAGAACATTTTTTTTCTTTCCATACAGTGACTGGAACCTGATTTCACCAGAATAAAAGTATCTTGTAACCAAAACCACTGGAATGCTCTGTGATTAGCTGGGGTGTTTTCTTAAAACCAGTCTCAAGGTGGCAAGAGGTATGTACTGGCTTTAATCCAAAAATTTATGAGTTATTCATTCTAAAAGAGACCCATAAGAACATGGTCTCATGAAGGTGGTAATATGGGTAAATTAGCCTAACATTAAATGTGTTCAAACACTATAAAAGAGTATCAGATAGGATCATGACCTTGAATCTTGCGTATTTACCCTATCAAACTGTTGTACAGCTCAGGCGATCTTTTAAAACTGTATTTTATTTTAAATGGAATGATGCAAGTGTCAAATAGAAACAGAGAGACCGTAATACTTTCCTGCTTTTCACTGTATGTGGCTATCACTTTAATGTGTTGCGGTTTTTCATTTTCTGTCCCCTGCTACAAAATTAAACAAAGCTTGACAGTGAAATATTCCAATTGCTAGCCCACAATATATGTATGAACTTTGGCTGATATAATAGAATGCTGAAAGTAAATATTTCTGTAAACTCTGCCCAAAGATGTTTTGCCTGCTTGCGTGCCAAAGAAATAATTGTGGCAATATGCGGAGTAGAAATCAGGAGGAAAATGCGAGCTGCTTCTATAGAAAAAGTTGTATTTCCAAATGCAACAACCATCTTCTAACACAATTTAAATATCTAACCAGTCTCATCTTCTACAGTACAATGTCAAGTATTGATAATTGTTACAGAGTGATAAAGATTTTTTTCTCATTATACTTTAAGTGCCATAAAAATGGGTCCTAGCAGTCACCGCAGGTGTATGTTTAAAATTTATTTCTTTGGACATCCGCAATTCAGAACAAAGTATTATAGATATTAAATCACTATATCTGCTAGTCTATTAACTTACACCACGCTTTTGCTACCAGCCATTTTAGCTAAAATTAAACTCACTTTTAGTTGGAAATTTTAATAATATACCAAGGAATACAGTTAGATGTAAAATGTAAACCTCAGATTCCAGGAACATTAAAAAGGGAATTCATCTACAATTATACTACCAAAGCATTCATGATTTGTTTAACTAATAAAACACAGAAAATAGTGAAAAGATAAGAAAAAATATTATTTATGAATTTTATAACATGATTAAAATAATTCTAAGTAGTAACATTTAACTCTACTAAGTGACAACAAAAAAATCAGTCTTTGAAACTGAGATGTATAACCCAGAAGACCTTTTATCAGAATGAAGTCAGAGACTGTGCCAAGAGTGGTCATTTATCTGCTGGTCTGTCTCTGTTCCTCGGTTTCTCTCTCTCTCTCTCTCTCTCTCTCTCTCTCTCTCTCTCTCTCTCT